AGAGCTCGGTAGGATGGCCATGGGAGAAGGGCCAGGAGACGGAGAGTTAATTCTTCAGTGTGTGTGCGAGGTTGAGTTGACTTCCAGCTGTGACCGATTTCCAGGGGACTGAGAGCACAGAGCTCAGAAGACGGGCTGGGTTTTCGGACTTCAGAATTGCAGCCTTGCTCACAGACGGGCTTGTACGGTGTCCAGTGACAGGAGAGTCCTTGTATGGTAGCTCCTGGTTCTCGAAGTGGTGAAAACACGGCAAGGTGAAGTGATGTTGATGCGATGACAGATTTTTAAAAAGACATAGGATTATTAAAGGCTGAAAGCAGCTCTCTATGGCTGTCACGTGGGTTGAATTTTACTTGATCACAAAATGAATGATTCTGATACAAAATATAAATTACCTGAGTTTAGTATTTATTTTAGAAAAATATGTAAAGCCATAGCCCCAGAAAATTCTTGGTTTAAAATCTGATTTGAATTTTGGTAAATGATTGCTATTTAATGGTATCAATCTGGTGTGACTCTTACGTCTCCTAAAATCTAACAAGCATATAATAAATGATCAATTAGTAAATAATCACTTCATTGTCAGACTTCTCTTTTATTGGTAATATATTTGGATAAAAATAAAGCAATATAATGTTGATATTATGACATGGCTGTTAAAGTAGTTCTGTAAACTGAAACTTTTGCAACTTTTAAATAGGAACCTGCTGTTTTATTAAAACTGTTAGAGACTATTGCTTTGTATAACAATTTTTTGGGAAAAGTTATTTTTGGATATCAGGAAGAGAGAAACATGATTAACATTTGTATATGATAGTCTAGGCTTGGAGAGAATTACAGGTTATTAAACAAGAACTTGAAAAAAGTAAAGATTTTTGAGAAGGAATAAAGGAAGACGCAAAACTAGGAAAGAAGGAGGAAATACTGCTTGATTTAAATTTTAAATCATTTAAAAAAATATTGTCTTAAGAGGAGAAGTGATAGAAATTTAGTGATGGTCTTCTCCTTGTTGTTTTTAAAGTATTCTACATTAAGAATTATCTGGGGAGAAGTGGTATTTTGAGGTCACTTATACATAGATACAGAAATAGTTGGTAATACCAAATTAAAAGTTGAATTGAATGTGCAGAAACGGTCCAGATCTGCATGTGAAAGTCTGTTCACACTGTGATAAGCTTCTAACTAGCTTTTTAATTGAAAAGTAGTGCATGCGCCTTCTTAATAACAGTATTTCAGGCAACACAGAAGGGCCCTTATTCCCTCCTCTTTACAGGCAGCACCTTCAGCAGATTCACAGTCCAGTGTGCTGACTACAACATGTATTTCTTGTTGGAATAGCACTGTTCTTAAAAATTTGTTCCATTCATTACTGTACTGTTCTTTTTGCTGTTTTTATGTTAAGTTTGTATTAAAATGCTTTTGAAGATAATTACATGTTCTTTTCGTAGAGAGAGAGAGATTATTTATAACTAAGTCATACGGTTGTGTCTCACTGTACACACTGGAGCATGTGTTCGTTCTTATTATGAACAACTGGTACCGGGTGGCAGTGCTAGGCTGGCTGGTAAAAAGGGAAGGTGGGTTAGTCTGCAGTGCTGTAGGGTAACTCTTCAAAGAACAGTTAGTGTGGCCTCTTCGCCAGGAGCGCTACCAGTGAGCTTTCTTAATAGGAGGCAAATGTCATGCCAGAGGTAAAGATCCTTTCCAGGTCTGGAGTTAAAAATAAAACTCACATGGAACTTTAAAATAATTATTGGAGAAAAGTATTTTATGATTGTGTCAGATGTTAAAGTCTCAGATCTTCTTGTGCTGTGGGCAACATGTAAGGAATGACAATTCTAAAACCATGCCGGTCGTCAGCTTTTTAAGAACATTTGGCCATACAGACTGGGCACTGGGAATGGTGTGTTTAAAACAGGCCAAGATCAAGAGAAGCTAACATCAGGATTAAAAAAAATAAATAAAAGATTTGAGGATTATTTTGCACCTGATGTTTAGGTGAGCAATTGCATTTAATTCCATCTCATAGCTGGAAAAAAGGCTTCTCTCAAACTTACATCCTTCTGTTTCCTCTTGATATAAGTAACTGATATCTACAAGTATTTATGGAGTGTCCACATTTTGTAATTGAATGAAAGATAGCAAAGAGATCTTGGTCTAGGTCTCATTTCCTTTTGTAATATTTATTAATCTTTGACGTTAATCAACTCTCACGTGCTAAAGGACCTGGACAACCCCCTGTTGTTTTGTAACTGGCAGGCTTGGTCAGTTGCAGGGCTCTTCACTCGCTTGAAACGAGCTTTTCCACATTTCCAAGACTAGCAAAGTCCATAAACACCACTCTTGGCGTCCTCCCCCAGCGCCCCTCCTCTGTGTTGTGCCTCTGAGGGGCCTCCGCTGCTCCTCACCTGAGGGCTGCGTGCATTTGCTCTGCCCAGGTGGCTGTGCGAACGAGACCCAGGACAGGTGGCCTGACCGTTTCATTACGGTTCAGTGTGACTCTGTCTCACGTCCCACCTAAGGTAAAAGTAAAATCATGACACCGTTAGTGAGCAGATAAAGTATTAAGACATTCTGTTATTTTCCTCATGGAAAGTGTTTAGTGATGATACACATATTTTGTTTGTTAGATTTGGGTGTCTGACACATAAAGTTTCTTACCATTTTAATGTCAGATTGCGACTCCTTAAAAAATGTAACTAGATTGTCATAATTTGTGCATCTTTGTTCAATGTAGAACTCAATATAAGTATTTAATAAATACTTTTCATTACTGAACAATTTATATACCAAAAAATTGCCTTTTAATTGAAAAAATAGGACATTGAAAATTAAGGGAATTAACCTGGAAAAGAAGTGGAATATTTTTTATGAAGTACAAAAACTTTATTGTCTTACTCTCAGGTGCTTTATTTCATGTGCTTGAGCCTCCTTGTTTTTTGGTTGTTTGTTTTTTTTTTTTTTTTTTTGCAGTACACGGGCCTCTCACTGTTGTGGCCCCTTCCGTTGCGGAGCACAGGCTCCGGACGCGCAGGCTCAGCAGCCATGGCTCACGGGCCCAGCCGCTCCGCGGCATGTGGGATCCTCCCGAACCGGGGGACGAACCCGTGTCCCCTGCATCGGCAGGCGGATTCTCAACCACTGCGCTACCAGGGAAGCCCGAGCCTCCTTGTTTTATGCCCCAACTTTTACTGTGGAAAATTCCAAAGGTGCACAAAAATAGAATACAGCTTCACCAGCTGTAAGTTTTATTTCCTCTCTGCTCTTCCAGCCCCAGATTACTGTGAAGCACATCCCAGACATCAGATTTCACCCACCACCATTTCAGTTTGCTTCTCTAAAGGATAATCAAGCCCCCGTTTTTAGACAACACATGGAAACACCTAGTGTTTAGCTGTTGTGTTCTCTTCTGGGTGAGAGCCCAGTACTAACAATCTCACACCAGCTAGGTGCCTCGCGAGAAGATGAAGTCGTTCTAGAAGCTACGGACACACCAGTGGCTCTGGGTCAGGAGGCCCCGCGCTGCTGCTGTTTCAGAGTCCGGCAGCTCCTTCCTTTTGGCCCCAGTTCTCCCTGCTCTCCACAAGGGGGCAGACAGAGGAAGAGAAAAGTGAGATTTAAACGAACCTGGTTTGAGTTTCACTTTTATTCAGCAATTAAGTGCAGTCACAGAACATTTCTGGAGTGATTGTTCAAAAACAAGCAATGGCTTCTTTTCTGAAAGAACTCTTGGTGCCCCTTCTTGCTCTTCAGACACAAAATAATATTAGTTATTTTAAAAGAGGGTTAAACAAAAATCTTTTAAAAAAATTTCCATAGCGTTGCCTTTAATTTTCTCTGTTAATGATTTGGGCTTTAATGAACATGTAGAATTTGAACTTATATCTAATTTTTGCACACCGTAGTTTGGATAACTTGTTGAAATTTCTCATTGGGTGATGAGAATGGTGTAGCTCAGGGATCCCCAACCTTTTTGGCACCGGGGACCGGTTTCATGGAAGACGGTTTTGCCACGGGCGGGGCGGGGGGCGTGTTTCAGGCGGTGATGCGAGCGATGGCGGGGTTGGGGGGTTGGGGGGGTAGCGGCAGATGAAGCTTCACGTGCTCGCCCACCGCTCACCTTCTGCCGTGTGGCCCGTTTCCTAACAGGCCGCGGGGCCGATGCTGGACCTCGGCTCGGGGGTTGCGGACCCCTGGTCTAGTTGGGCATTTGATGAGCGTGGAAGGGGCGTAACGCTGTCTGTGCCGACAGGTTTCTCCTTTCCTGAAACCTCAGTTACGTGTCTGTGTCCCTGAATGAGTTATGTTCACAAACACCTGCAGGTGTATTTTATGGTTACTCTCTGTGTGGTAAAGACGGTGTTCTGTTTGAAGCAGCTTGACAGTGAACACCTGAACATCATAAGCGTTGCTTTTTAGCCTGGGATAGAGTTTTATGTAAAGTGATAATTGTCTTTGTGTGGAGTTGGATGATCTGATGTTTGGAAGTTCTTCTTCGGTGGGATGTCTATTTGCTCCTCCTGTTCTCTTTTTGTTTCCCAGTAAGTGTATTTCTTTTGGGAAAATGCTATTTTTCCAAGCAGACTGTATGAAACTCACATTCTGTATAAGTGGTTTTAGCTGCTGTAAGATATTGGGGGACGTGATGGGATCAACATGTAGAAATTGGTTCTTTTCTTGCATGTGTTTTGGCACCTGTTTTGCGTTAGTGTTTCTCCTCCTGTTGCCACCACTCAGATCACCTGTGCTCAGACTTTATGTACCCCTGCAGCATGATATATAATTATGATGAAACTGTTATCTACATTCCTCTAGCATTCTTTTTTTCAGCACTTAATGCCTTTTATTCCTTAGCTTCAGGCGTGAATTATGTAGCATATGTGAAGAGGCTTAAACTGTTCCCATTACATTCTTTCTGGATGGCTCCGTTATATTTAGGATATACTTACATTTTAGACAAAGTCGGAATGTTATTGTGGTTGACCTTGACCCCAGCTAACTGGGAAGACATTATATAGCCATGTTTGAGTCCTCGCAAAATGTGCTCCTGAAGCCCACGGAGTCCTGGCGGGAGGCCCTTCTGGACAGCAGGGTCATGGAGCTTTTCTTTACCGTAAGTCCTGCTCTCCCTCGCCACAGGGAAGCCACAGAAAAGTGACACGGGAAGAATGCGTGCTTTTGTATCTTTTTTAAGTAAATCAAGACAGATTGCTTTTCTCCTCCAAAGCCTTCTCTCCTGATCAGTATATTTGCTTAAACAAAGATTATATAGAAATGTTTTTGCTGGTTTATTAAAATGTTATATAATTATGAAGGGTTTAACGTCGTAGAGCTCAAGCTTTTTGGCCTCAGGGCCTCTTTACGCTCTTAAAAATCATCGAGGACCCCGAAGGGCTTTTGTTTATGTGGGTTATAGCTATTAGTGTTTACCATGTTAAAAATTCAAACTGAGAACTTTAAAAAATATTTATTAATTCACTTAAAAATAGCAATACCAAACCACTACATGTTAACGTAAATAACATTTCAGTGAACAAATAGCTATGTTATTTAAAACAAGCAGACAGAAAGTTTAGTGAGAAGAGTGGCATTGTTGACATTTTTGCAGACCTCTCCAATGTCTGGTGTCACAGAAGACAGCCAGGCCCTCTCATGTGCTGCTGCGTTCGCTCAGTTGCAGTGTTCTACGGTCACGTAGAACGTGGGTGTGTGACGGTAGGGATGGAAAAGGCAAACACTGCCTCAGTGGTGTTATGAGAGTAGTTTTGACCTTACAGACAACCTGACAGGGTGTCAGGAAGCTTTGGGGACCCCTGGGCCGCACTTTGAGAAGCGCTGTTCTAGAGCAGTACACTTTCGTGTACTGATTAGCAGCCATGGGTTCAGTTAGAGTGACTGAATAACAGTTTATTTCAGCTGTAACTTTCAGTAGTCCTGTATTGTTTACTAAACACCAGGAAGTTAGGAATGTGCTCCCATGTTTGCCCAAGAGGGCCCCCCAATGTAATAGTCAAAAGCTGGAGAAAATATGGAAAATACGTGTGTGTGTAGTATGTGTGTGTGTGTTTTGGATACAGGTTTGCAGATGTAGGGCAAGCATGGAAGTTAGGTATAATGACTGGGGCAAAAGTCCAAATAAAGACCAATTAAAAAGAAAAAAGAAAGCTATTTTGCTAAATCCCAACCATTAATTATAGTTTACCTTTTCATGTGTTTTAAAGGTACTATTCACGAGCCTTACAAATTTCACCCCTAGGTGTACATAAAAATATTTTTCTATAGAAATGTTCAGACTGAGTATTACCTTGCATTTTCTTCTTTAAATCCGAGAAATGATGGCTAAAAACGTTATCAGTATCAAAGATAATTGTAACTACATTTTAACATTCTGTTGCCTGCCTCTGGCAGAAATTGTTTTGATGTGTATCCAAGTTCAGTTCTCTGTGTTATTCATTTGACTGAAATTGGACCCCGTTCCAGCAGTTTTTGAAAAGGTGAAAAACTTGCTGGCAGTGCTGGAAACAGCTCCCCTGTCTGAACAGCTGTCTGGACGCAGTAGACAGCTGCTCCTGTCAGCTGGGAGCCTCCACATGCAGATAACTTCTGCATCTGAAAGTTAACCCCTTTCACCTTGTGATTTTAACAGTTTTGTGTTTGTGGCCTATTACTTTCATGTATGCACTTTATGAACAATTTTAATTTTGTTATTTGTTAGAAAAATGTCAGTGACTAATCTTTTTATTTCATTCACTTTTTTTTTTAAGTTTATTTTCAATTATGTGAATTCATTGCCTATTTGAAGCAGTTTTCCACTGCATGTCACTTTTTCTCTAGATTTGAATCGCTGCACTTACGTGTACTGTGTCGTGGCCTCGGGACCCAGCTGTGACCCGTCTGGGTTCAGGAGACCTTAGATGGCCTTCTGCCCCCTGCAAGTTCACAAGCTTCTCCAGTTTTCTTCTTTCCATTAGGTGTTGGAGAAACCACTCTCCTTAGTTTTTCCTTTTTGACATATTCTTCCTGATCTCATTTATGGTCTCTTCTTACTCTGCTCGTTGGATAAATACAGGTGTTCCTATCTCAGTTCTCAGCTTTGCTGACTGTGTACGTGTTCCTTGGGCTTCTTTTTCCACTCGTAGCTCACCGAGCGACACTTCTGCACCAAGGACTCCTCGTCTGTATTCAGCACAGGCTGCTCCTGTGTCCCAGAGCCTCGTAATCCTCGCGCTGGGCGCTTTAACTTGGATGCCCGAAGCCGTCTCGGATTCAGTGTGTTCCCATAGAACTCAGCGTCTTAACTAACGTACTTTTCTTTATTCCTTGTCCGTATTTCTTGTCTTGCTTCTCCAGTCACCTCCCTGGGTCTTCCGCTAGACTTTGCTTTTCTTTATCCCTCTGCTTTTCCCTATTCAGGTGGTGAATTCAGGTTTTAATCTGTGTAACATGGTTCAGATATGGTAGAATTCCTTTGTAATGGAAGGGAGCAAGAATCTACCGTGTTACGTAAGAATCAGCCATTGATTTATCATGTTTTATGTGGTTCATATTTTAGGAAACGTAAGTATGCCCAGTAAAGTCAGGCTCTGAGGACAGTTTCTTATTTTTATTTTATTTAATTACATAATCCATGTTGGCTGTTTCTTTTGCTTCCTTATGTCTGGACCAGGATCGAGCAACCATTTGGCTGTGTGGGTGGAGAAGCAGCCCTCTGTGGTCCCAGGTTGCGTTGTCTCTGTCATGTTTAAATGTTGATAAGGTTAAAAAAACAAGGTGACAGAAATGTAGTTACAGTTTTCAGATAAGGAACTTCAGAATAAGCTGTGTTCAGAAGTTCTTGAATAGAATGGATATATGGATTTGTGATTGTACTTTAAATTTACTATATATAAAACTTAGAATGTATTTTGAAAAACCCTTGTGTTCTAGACCAGGGATTGGCTGGGTAGAATATTAGGCTTTGCAGGCCATTAGTTCTCTGAGGCAGCTTCAGCTCTGGCCTCCCAGTACAAGCAGTTACAGCAAAACTTCACTGAAGGCTGTTACAACGTGAATTTTGTATAATTTTCACATGTCTTGAAATATTATTCTTTGGTTTTGTTTTTCCCAACCACATAAAAAGGTAAAAACCATTCTTACCTCACAGGCCACACGAGAGCAGGCAGGAGGCCAGGTCTGGCCTGTGGGCTGTGGTTTGACAACCCCTTTTCTAAACCCCTTTCAGCATGTCAGTAGCTAAATTAACTTTGTAACTTAACAGCGAGTTTTTAATATTTTAAATTTCTTAGAACCTTAAGCAGTTCAGGAATTAAAGATTAATGGAATCAACCAGTGAATTAAGGGTTTATGAGTATGCCCTGTGTCCCCGCACTGTACCAGTGCATAGTTGGGAAGCACCCTAACTTCAAGTAATTTATAAATGATTGCGGAGTCAGAGTGAAATAACCTGACACAGATGGAGAATAAATGTTTAAATTGTGTGACACTCAGAAAGCACAGAGACTTGTGTAGGGAAAGAGGGGCTGGAAAATTCAAATCCTTGTGGAAAGTAGAAAGTGGCCACAGTAAATGTGGTGGATTAAGATAAACAATTACCTGTGATTTCTCTGCTAAAAATATTTTCCTTGTCTGTTTTAATTGTGTAAGTCTGAGAATATTAATGACACTGTAAAATTAGGGAGCAGTATTTTGGGAGTGTTTCCTTCATCAGGACACTGTATGCCAGGTGTTTCACCTCAGTATTGCAGCATTGAAATAAATTCTACGCGAGGTTTAAAGCGAATTTAAATATAATTTAAGTAAAATTTAAACATTTAAAAAATTTATTAATAGCAGTGATATAGGATAAAATGAGATTCAAATAAATTGTAGGCAGTATCAGAGTTGATGAAACACCATGTTAATATATTGCTTGAATGAGTGAATTTCTAGGGATTGGGGGGCATGTTGGTTTTGCGAGTGTGTGACTGTCTGCTCCAGCGGAGCAGCATCTATATGCTCTTGCCCGAACTTTGCTAACTTTAGCAAGAAGCTGCAGCGAGGCATAGCTAGCATAATACAGATGACTGTCGTGGCTGCTGTTTTTAGAAGAAGCGGCGCGTCTGACTGGCCGGCATCTGTTTCTTTGTCATAACACGCCGGAGACGGCTCAGTTTTCAAAATGTAGGTAGCTCTCCACTGACAATTAATTGGTATGTTTAAAATCATGGCCTATAACATAAAATGGACTGAGGGACAATTTTCAAATTTAGTTTAACTCGGGAATTAGTTGTCTAGAAATGCTCAGCTACAGTGAATTTTTCTCTCACCTCATTTGGCACGATAGACACGTGACCCTTACAAGAGAAGAATTTATGTTTATGGATTAGCGATTCTTTCTAACAGGTACATCGAAAAATCAGAGAAGATTCCGACATGGCACAAGACTCCCTGCAGTGCCTCGCCCAGTTAGCTTCTCTTCACGGACCCATCTTCCCCGACGAAGGGTCCCAAGTGGATTATCTCGCACACTTCATTGAGGGCTTACTGAATACCATCAATGGGTAGGTATCCTGGCCCTTAGAACCAAAAAGGAGCTTCAGTTCTTCCTCATGATTAACAGTGGAGGAAAAAAGAAACTAGCGATTCCCTGCTTTTATTTTTAGGGAGAGTTACGCGTGTAGTTGAAATGAGTGCACAGAGGCGTGCCTCCGAGAATGAATGGGTGCATGTTTGGGAACGAGCTGCCTCTGCTCCACTTAACGCTGATGCTCATGCCTTGGGTTGTAGAATTGAGATAGAAGATTCTGAAGCTGTGGGGATCTCCAGCATCATCAGCAACCTGATAACTGTGTTCCCTCGCAACGTCTTAACCGCCATTCCAAGCGAGCTCTTCTCGTCCTTTGTGAGCTGCCTGACACACCTCACGTGCTCTTTCGGGCGCAGTGCTGCACTGGAGGAGGTGGTGAGTGGCTCTGACTGAACCGCGCTGTCTCGCAGGGGGACCTGCTCTGCCTCTGAAGCGTGTCTCATGGCCGCTAATTGTTTTAAAGGAGTGCGTGTTTGTTTATATGTGCAAATCATTTGGCAGTCTGTGCTTGGGAACATGACTTCTTAAAAATTTGTGGAAAATCACTTTAGTAGACTAAATTTTATTTGTCTCAAGATTTTATTTTATTATTTATTTTATTTTTTAAAAATTTTTGGCTGCGTCGGGTCTTAGTTGCTCCGCGCGGGCTTTCTCTAGTTGCGGCGAGTGGGGGCTACACTGTGTTGCGGTGCGCGGGCTTCTCATCGCGGTGGCTTCTCTTGTTGAGGAGCACGGGCTCTAGGCGCGCGGGCTCAGTAGTTGTGGCTTGAGGGCTCTTAGAGCGCAGGCTCAGTAGTTGTGGCGCACGGGCTTATTTGCTCTGCAGCATGTGGGATCCTCTTGGACCAGGGCTCGAACCCGAGACCCCTGCATTGGTAGGCGGATCCTTAACCACTGTGCCACCAGGGAAGTCCCTGGTCTCAAGATTTTAAGTTGAGATAATTTAGTACCTGAAAGTAGGAAATGGAATGAAATGTTTTTATTAAAAACTATGTTGAAAGCCATTTTAATAATAAACTCTTTAAGTTCGAGGGGTGCTAGGAACTTTATGGTATGGTTGTGATTGTGTATAATTTTAAGTGTTTTTTGAGAATTTAGAAATCTTGGGCTTATCTGGAAATTATGTAAATATAATTTAGTTCAAATAATTGTAACCCTGCTTATTTTGATTAATTTTTTTTGGTGTTTTTTTATGGTTTTAATAATATATCTCGGTAAATTTTAATTTGCATTAAAATTAAGACCAATTCCTGTAGTAAAGATGTTTTTTGGTACAGATTTTTAAATGCTTATCTTCCACATTTTATATTTAATTTGGAAAACTCGTACTAAACTCCTTGACAACACAGCTGTGTTTGTAACAGTTACTGGGAATAACTACGTTAATCTTGGGAAGTAATTGATGTTTTCCCTACCAAGTAGTTACTAAATTGTTGAAACTAATTGTTTTTTTAATGAAATGTAGATTCTTTTCAAAGATTGTAAGGGTAAAAAGAATCTTTGTAGACCTCTGATAGAATTTCATGTTAAGTCCGAGCGGTTGTTTTGTTGGGGGTTTGGCAACATCTGTGGGAGTGATTTGTGCCCCTTCAGAGGTGTCAGAGCACGAAGAACTCGGGAATGACTGTGTTCACAACAGTGGGCGCCCCAGTGGTTTGACGGGAAAGGAACCAGGCCAGGAAGTTATTTATGTGTTGGAAAGTGTCGGTCATGGAGGAATAGAAGTTTACGGGCTTCATATGTGAGGTCTGAATTTCTAGGGAGAAAAATCATGTACTAAGCATGGAAACAGAGGGAAATTTTAAGTATTTAAGCTGTACTCAAACTCTTTTCAAATGACCACAAATTCCGAATCACTCGGGTTTCACGTCACATCCCCCTTTCCCCCACCCCCTCCCCTTGGTTAAATGGCACGTTGATCACATGTTTAGAAACACAGCTGCCTTTTATTATAGTTTGTGGGTTAAGGATGCTTCTAGAGGAATTGCTGGAAGATTTGTAACATTCTTGGCTTGCACATTTGAGGTTTAGAATTTATTTATTTTGCCTAGGGGACTAACAACTTGGAAAACAATTTTTCTGCCAAGGTTTGACCTAGAAGTATTGGGACACAGGGAGCCTGGATGCGCTTTCAGAGAGTAGATGTTTAATGGTGCTTCACAGGGAGGCATGCACTGTACCTAATGGGCCTCATTCAGGAAAACGGCTATTTCTTTTCCTTTCTTTTAATTGGTCGATTTCTTTTAATCTGTTTATGACGTTTAAAAAATGGTGTTAGAAACAGTTGGTTACCCATTGAAACAGGCAGAGGGAATAGATTTGTCTGATGCTTTTGCATGACTCATAGCAGCCAGATTGGCGAGGGTTGGTGAAGTCGAGGGCTAACGGGGGTCCCTGCACGATGAGTTACCAGAAGACTAAGCGAATCCTAAATGTATCTCAGCCGCGTGGGGTTTTCATTCTGGCTGTGTGAGCTGGGGGCGGGGCCTGGGGAGTGGGCGGCGGGCGGGCGAGGTGTAGGGACAGACCCAGCCCGGCTGCGGTGGAGCTTCTGGGACGCAGGGCAGGTCACCTCGTGCACAATACATAGTTGTTGACCTAAGATGGCAAAAGGTATAAAGAAATGAGCTTATACGTAAAAATCGAAAAGTTGAGCATATTAAAAAAACTGCTTTGGGGAGTCATAAGTAGTGAGAAAGATCACGAACTTCTGAGGGAGACGCTGTGGCGTGAGCCAGGAGGAGTCCTCAGCTGCAGGGCCTTGGGCAGGTTGCTTCACCTTCTGTGAGCACGTTTCCTTGCGGTGTAGTTAGGATACTGGTCTCTTCTGATGTTTCGTGGGGTGGATTAATGTGAAAGTGCCGCTACGGTGTGCACAATAAAATGTGGAATTATAATGATACAAATGAACCTTTATAATGGACTTTACTAACAGCCTGTATTATGTGTGCTGTCCTATGAGTAAGACCAGATCTTGAGTTTTGTTGTTTCATGCAAATCAGTAATATTATTTGTTTATTTTTTAAAATGTTGTCTTTTGTGATTTGCTCTCAAATTGTATCTCTTTTTTATTTTTATTTTTCTGCACTACGCGGGCCTCTCACTGCCGTGGCCTCTCCTGCCGCGGAGCACAGGCTCCGGATGCACAGGCCCAGCGGCCAGGGCTCACGGGCCCAGCTGCTCTGCGGCACGTGGGACCCCCCCCCCCCCAAGCCCGGGGCACGAACCTGTGTCCCCCTCATCGGCAGGTGGACTCTCAACCACTGTGCCAGCAGGGAAGCCCTGTATCTCTTTTTTAAAACACAAATTTATTTATTTATTTATTTATTTTTGGCTGTGTTGGGTCTTCGTTGCTGTGCGTGGGCTTCTCATTGCAGTGGCTTCTCTTGTGGTGGAGCATGTGCTTCAGTAGTTGCAGCACGCAGGCTCAGTAGTTGTGGCACATGGGCTTAGTTGCTCCGTGGCATGTGGCATCTTCCCGGACCAGGGCTCGAACCCGTGTCCCCTGCATTGGCAGGCAGATTCTTAACCACTGTGCCACCAGGAAAGCCCCAAATCAGTAATTTTAATGTTAGGTTTTTAAAAACAATTTTAATCTTGTGAAATGTTTTGTTTTTCTTTAATATTGAAAGAGTTTCTTTTCCCAGTAGGAAAACAGATTCAGCAAAACACTTTTTTTTTTTAGTTGTGCTCAGGAAGGAAGGTTTTATTTTTTAATTTTTAACATGTATTTATTTATTTATTAACATATTTGTTGGAGTATAATTACTTTACAGTGGTGTGCTAGCTTCTGCGTTATAGCAAAGTGAATCAGCTATACATACACATACATCCCCATATCTCCTCCCTCTTGCGTCTCCCTCGCACCCTCCCTATCCCACCCCTCTAGGTGGTCACAGAGCACCAAGCTGATCTCCCTGTGCTATGTGGCTGCTTCCCACTAGCTATCTGTTTTACATTTGGTAGTGTGTATATGTCCATGCCACTCTCTCACTTCGTCCCAGCTTACCCTTCCCCCTCCCCGTGTCCTCAAGTCCATTCTCTACGTCTGAGTCTTTATTCCTGTCCGCCCCTAGGTTCATGAGAACCATTTTTTTTTTAAGATTCCATATATATATGTTAGCATACGGTATTTGTTTTTCTCTTTCTGACTTCACTCTGTATGACAGACTCTGGGTCCATCCACCTCACTACAAATAACTCAATTTCATTTCTTTTTATTGCTGAGTAATATTCCATTGTATATATGTGCCACATCTTCTTTATCCATTCATGTGTCGATGGCCACTTAGGTTGCTTCCATGTCCTGCCTATCGTAAATAGTGCTGCAGTGAACATCGTGGTATCCAGCAACACACTTTTGTTTTACTGTGGTATTTTTTCAAAACTATATTTATTTAGGAATACATATAGATTGTCTCTTGTTTTAGGAACTCAGGTCTTAGATGGTGATTATGTTGCTGTAGCAAGAATTTTAAAAAAGCAGCTTCATGGGAAGAAAAATTCTTGATACTAACATGTATTTTTGAACTATGTCCTTGTTTGGTGGCTGTAGCGTGTGTATGGAGAGGCTGTTATTTATGACTGCCCTCAACTTGCAGTGAACTGAAAGTCTCTGCTCAAAAAGAGCAACTCCTGTCTTCAGCCACTTTATACTGTTGGCTGTTAAAATTTCTAGGTGTTGGGCTTCCGTGGTGGCGCAGTGGTTGAGAGTCCGCCTGCCTGGTTCGTGCCCCGGTCCGGGAAGATCCCACATGCCGCGGAGCGGCTGGGCCCGTGAGCCATGGCCGCTGAGCCTGCGTGTCCAGAGCCTGTGCTCCGCAACGGGAGAGGCCACAACAGTGAGAGGCCCACGTAAAGCAAAAAAAAAAAAAAAAAAAATTTCTTGGTGTTACTTGAGGCTTCCTGAAGCCAAGAATTTTTTCGTTGCACCCGAGAAATCAAATTTTTGTCTATTGCTAGACTGGAGAGGTGAGATGGATTATAAGATGAAATTATTGCCTTAAAAATTAAAATCCTAACCAAATAATTGTTCATATTATTATGTCAACTATTTTATAAAATGTCTATAATACTAGTATATGCATTTGAATTGATTCAGTGAAATTTGAAGAGAATATGGCTTGAACTCTAGACTCTCATTTGTTTCTTGGTTTCTTTTGTCGGTTAAGTTCAGCCCCCAGTAGATTCATCAGCCAGAAGCCACGTAACATGTTAACAGAGCAACCATCATGGTCCTTAAACTTTGAAGAGTGTGTGTGTGTGTGTGTGTGTGTGTGTGTGTACACGTGCACATGAGGGCTGTGGGTTGGATATGTAAGGGAGGTGGGAGGTGATGGTAGTAAACTTTGCAAAGGAAGAGCTTCATATTTAAT